TGCCAGTGCCTCGCCGGAGAAGAAGAACCAGACGCCGGAGGAGCCGGCCGCCGCCACCCGCCGCCGCACCGGGGAAGTTTTCGACCGCCGATTGAGGTAAATTTTCTCCTCCCTGCTCGTTTTTCGATGCTGAGTCCGCCTATGGCCAAATCGGAGCCAAACCACCGGCCAAACGGCTGGAAAACCCAGTCGAAGCCCAGCGGCGCCGCCATGCCCCTCCTTGGTTTTTGTCTCCGATGAGGCCCTTCCTGGCCTCCGTTTTATACAATTTTTATACCACTGTGATCACTGTTCTCTTCTTTGATCGGAGCCAAACATCAAAACGCAACTCACGCTGGAGGAGCCGCTGCACCCGAGAGCACTACCGCCGGTAAGTTTCGGTTTTTCATGATTTTTTAGCCCACCGAGGGCCCTAAGATTGTTTTATCGCAAGGACCGATGCAAGTGTGGCCGAATTCGGCCGAAAACGGCCAACCCGAGGCGAATCACCGTCGTAGGAAGACGATGTCCTTACTTCTGTGACAGTGGTCATTTTTGTTTTCTACCAACCTTTACTTCTGTGACACTGAGATAGTATGATGTCCTTACTGGGCTAGTGTAGCTCATTCCTTACTTAACCATTTCATATCAGGAAAACTTGGTTCCCGAGCCCGTCCCGCAGGAAGACAGTGAGTAGATGTCTAAAGATTTCATATGCGACAAGTGTTGCTGAGGCGGTAGCAGAGTCGGTCCCCGTGATCCCTGCCGCAGTGCTGGCAGATCTTCCCACATGTTGCCCCCGTAGCTTGAGGGGGACCTGGATGGCGGGTTTGGGCCTCTTACTAGGTTGGACAGGCGCGGTAGGTGCTGGCCTACGGAGCGGGGCTGAGGGTCGGGAACTCCCCGCTAGCTGAGGGTGGGTGTCGAAGCTCCTTTCTATGATATGCGCCTTTGCTAGGACTGCTGAATATGTCTCGAGCTCCATTACCAGTAAGTGCTGTCTGATCTCCGGGCGGAGACCCCACTGGAATTTCCTGGCCTTTCGGCCCTCATCCATCAATGTCTCTGGGGCATATCGGCCCAGCTCCAAGAACTTACGGGCATACTCCGACACTGTCATGTTTCCCTGGACCAATTGAGCAAACTCTATTTCCTTCAGGTGTCGGATGTATTTAGGGAGATACTCCGCGTGGAAGGCCACCAAGAACTGCTCCCAAGTAGCTGGTGTAGGCAGGGTGGTCCGCTTGAGCTCCCACCAGCGTACTGCTTCCCCTACCAGCATGTAGGAGGCAATGGCAGCCCTCTGCTCAGGAACTACTCCCAAGGTCTCGAAAGCTCTCTCAGTCTCTGCCAGCCAGTATTGGGCCTCTTCAAAAGAGGATCCCCCTGCAAAAGTAGAAGGGTTCAGTCTTCTGTACCTCTCTATGAAGCGGGGGTCGATCAAGGAAGGAGCGGGATCCCGGGGTAGAGGGACTAGGGCCGGCTGAGGGTGAACTGGGGGGCCCTGTGGTGGCACTTGCTGATGTGGTGGGGGTACTGGAATGTGCTGTGGTGGTGCCTGGTGGTACCGTGGCTGTGGTACCGGGTCGTACCGCGGCTGTGGTGCCGGGTGGTACTGTGAAGGAGCAGGCTCCTATCGGAGTGGCTCGGGATCAGCCTGCTGTAGCGGGGGCTCAACCTGCGATAGCGGAGGAGGTCCGGGTAACTCCCTTCTCTCCTCTCGCCTTTGCTGGGCAGCTACGAGAGCTTCCACCATCTCAAATAGTCTGTCTAAATCCTCCCGAAGTGAATTATCTTGGGCCGCTCGGTTTAGTGGGGGCCTTCCTCTCCTCATTTCCGTGTACCTGCATTCACAAGGAATGGTTGAGTAACGATCTATCGGTGAGTATTTCTCTAAGGCACTATTGTGTAAGGGATGGGTCCGAGGAAACGCGGCTCTGATACCAACTGTAACGGCCCCGAAATTTTTAAAATTGAAATATGTGTATTAAAAAGGTCAAATGCGGAAGCGTAATAAAAATTTTGATTAACATCCGTTACACTAAAACCAAAAACATGCTCAAAGTATAAAAGAACAAACTAACTAAAAGAGAAACTCGAAAATAAAAGCAATAAATATAACTACGGAGTCTTCAGGCGTCCCCTTCGCCGTCTTCCTGCGGAACGGGTTTGGGAACAATGTCTTCCTGATCTGAAATGATTAAATAAGGAATGAGCTACACCAGCCCAGTAAAGACATCACACTATCTCACCGTCACGGAGGTAAAGGTGGGTAGAAAACACAAAAAGACCAATGGAGCATAATTTACAACAAATTCTTTTATCAATAATAAAATCCTTTACTATCCACTTACCTTGGTGAAATTCATAAAACAATATACGAAAGCAATAACATTATTATCATCATGAAATCATATGAGCTGTATAACATAATACTTATCACGCCTTTTGCAATTCAATCATTACACAACATATTTTTCTTCATTTACCAGCCTACTAGTATCCATGGGGATCCATAGGGGTCCCGCTACCCGTGAACCCTTAACACTTGTAATCAGATTCCAGGGCCGTCCCCATACCCCGTCCAGTATGGGCACCAAAACTATAAACCTTAATACCCCGTCCGGTATGAGGATGAAACAGGCCGTCCCCATACCCCGTCTGGTATGGGCGCCAAAACACATAAGGTCTTCATACCCCGTCCGGTATGAGTGACCACAATCTCGGTAGGGTTCCCTACGAACCCGGTCTGTCCACCATCTCCCACGATATCTAGTCAGGCTGACCACATTATGCAATTATCAATTTACATAACCTTTCATTCTCCTTTTCTCCAGTCAGCATCATCAATTCACACACAAATAAGCAAACCAGTAATTTATGTCAAACAAGACAACATACAACATCGGGTTCTCAGTCATTCAACCCATAATCAATAAAACAGTAAAATATGCACACAAAACTATGAAATGAAAACATCAGACCTCATACTGCATTTAAAACCGTAAAATAAGCCAAACAACAGCTAACCGACAAACACACCAGACTCGGGCTCCATTAGCGACCTTAAACAATTTCACACATCTATTGATTCATGAAATACCGTTTTATTATTTATTGAACTTTAATACCGTGATAGGAAATAGGGTGAGAGGTCCTTACTTGTTTCGGGGTCCGAATACGGCTCTACAGTGCACCTACAGACTGTCCCTAATTTTTCCTGAATTTTTTCTGGGGAACTGAAACGCACTACTGGTACCTGCACGTATCCCAAAAAATCTCAAATTAGACTCAGGGCCCCTTTCGGCCAATATCGCAATTCTGGCACGGCAGCTCCGCCGTGCTCCGGCGACGGTGCCGCTGCTTGCGATGGCGATTCGCCTCGGGTTGGCCGTTTCCTGCAGAATTCGGCCCCACTTGCATCGGTCCCTGCGATAAAACAACCCTAGGGCCCTCGGGGGGCCAAAAAATTACGAAAAATCTAAGCTTACCGGCGGTGGTGCTCTCGGGTGCGGCGGCTCTCCGGTGAGGTTCGTGTTTTGGTGATTTGGCTCCGATTTGACCACAGGGGAACTCAGCATTGAAAAACGAGCCGAGGGTATGAAATTTACCTCAATTGGCGGTCGAAAAACTCCCCGGTGCGGCGGCGGGTGGCGGCGGCCGGCTCCTCCGGCGTCTGGTTCGTCTTCTCCGGCGAGGGCAGGCAGCTAGGGTTTTTGTGGTCAGGTGTGGGGGTTTTATTTATATCCTTTTGCCTTTTAATCACAGCCGTCCATCTTGATTAAATCTGGGCCGTTCGTACTTGATTGAATCTGGGCCGTCCGTGCGCACGCTTGATCTGGGCCGTCCGTGCGCGCAGGGAAGCATCTGGGCCGTCCGATCGCGTGCACGCGGATCGCCCACATGGCCCGTTCCCGGGTCGTCGTGGTCTTGCCACGCGGTAGGTCCTGGTTGGCCAGGGCTGCTGACTGGGCCGCTGACGTGGCGCTGACGGGGTACAATTTTTTTAAATTGCGTTTTGACCCCCGGTTTTCGATTTTCTTTTCAAAAATACCCCCAGAATCTAAATTTTCACCCATTTTTCCCAAAATCAATTTCAATTAAATCCAAATAATATTTTTACCTAATTTTATCATTATTATTATTTTATTTTTATTAAATTAAATTAAATTAAATCAAATAAATCAATTAAAATTCAAAAATTATAAAATAAACTAAATAAAATAAATAAAAAAATTAATAATAATAATAATAAAATTTTAAAATTAGTGGGCGTTACAATGTAACTTATTACTCAATTAGAAAATTTTAAAGCTACTGGTGGAATGAAAATTTTAACGGGTAATCAAAGCACTCAATTCATATTTTATATTGAATTTGGAACTTGACTTGCTTATGGATGATTTTCTTTCTAATACTTATGTTTTTCAATATCTTTTTATTAAGTAGATTCTTTAGAATTGTAATTTGGTGGCTTATACTCTTATAAAATAAGCTAAATACAATATAGATGGGAAATATTGTATTTTGAAATCTTTTACCTTTTTATTTCTACTTATTGCGCGCAAGATACTTTTCTCCTCCATTATTGAATGAATTTTTAGCTATCTTCTCTAAAAAAAAATTAAATTATTAATTGATTTAGTAATATCTATTTTTAAAATATGCACTAATATGTTTTAATCATTAAGATAATTTATATTGAATATTATTGCAATTTATTGTTAAGTTAATGAACATAAAACTAATATTAAATTTTACAATTAAATTTAATAGAAAATTTAACTATGGGAGACAATAAAATATATAATAAAAATTCATAGTACATGAATTTTAAAAAATAAAATTGTGTCTACATATTATATCAATTAAAGAGAGAAAATACACTCCATCAACCAATTAAATTTCAAAAACATTATTAATTGAATCAACCCAAAGTAATTAAAGCGGGAGGAATTCAAATTTTGAAATTTCAAAGAACATAAATCCTTTTTTATTAACCAAATTGGGAGATTACTCCAGCCACATTTACACTTCAAATTACATTTTTACCCTTCTTCAACCGGATCTTTATAGCGCCCCTCCGCCCCCCGCCACCCCCAATTCAATATTCTCTCTCCGCTCTTCGTCATCATCCTCATTTTTCTGGTAGTCTCTCACTCTCTCTCTCTCTCTCTCTCTCTCTCTCTCTCTCTGGGGTCCCTGATCTTCGAAGGAATTAACTCTGTTCGTCTTTGTTTATGAGATTGTTTCGTTTTGTTTTTCTTTTTAACGTACTTAATTTGTTCGTAGATATCGAATCTTGAATAAGGTCCGGAAGAGAAAAATCCGACTGAAAATTTCTTAGTTCTGCGAGCGATGGGTCAGATCCAGTACTCTGATAAATACTTCGACGATACTTACGAGTACAGGTAGATTCATTTCATTTTTGCTCTTGATTTTTTTATTCTTCATTTTTTTTTGGTTTTGTCTATTTTCAGTTCTGGGAATTGATTTTTAATTGTTAGGTTCTTTTTACAACTTTAAATTTCGGTGATTGTGCAGGCATGTAGTTCTTCCCGCAGATGTGGCAAAGGCACTGCCCAAGAATCGTCTCCTCTCCGAAGTATGTCATTAGGGTTTGTGTATTTATCTTTATATTTTTGAATTGTTTGGATTTTTTTGATAAAATTTTTTGTTTCTCTGCCTGATTGATGGAATATGGAAAAATAAAATAAAAAATGGAGTTTGTTTAAGGTTTCACAGTGAAAATTTATCGGATAAGTTACGGATTTTGAAGAAAGTTAACGTGTTAAGAGTAGTAGTTATTACTATCTCCTCCATTTGTTCTGCTGTGATGGTGAGAAGATGTTTTCCGATAATCCAAATAGACTGAACAGTTTGCTTAATTGTGTGCATTGTAGTTATTTGGTGTCCGTAAGTTTGGCTTTGTAAACTCAATTTTGAAAGTTGAACATGGTAATGAGAACGTTGTTCTTTGTGGTTTTTCCATGGACAAGAATCTAAGAGGTCTCTAACTTAATCATTTCCTTTGATTGTGAGGAACAGGAATATATCATGCTATGAGGTAAACGTGTTATCTATGTTTATGGTCTTTTTCAAATTGGAAGTATGTATTTGTCATATTCTCTGCTTTAAAGTACATTCTGATATTTATGGGTGCTACCTAATCATTCAATTTTAGAATAGAAAGTAAAACATGGGTGGTTTGATTTGTAGAATGAATGGCGTGCACTTGGAGTTCAGCAAAGCCGTGGATGGGTCCATTATGCCATCCATCGTCCTGAGCCACACATCATGCTGTTCAGGAGGCCTTTGAACTATCAACAGCTGCAGGAGAATCAAGCGCAGCAGAACTTGCTTGCAAAGTAATTTTTATACTTGTGTCTGAAAAGGGATGGATGAATATAAAACAAAAGTAGGGTTTATGCTTCTGCATAAGTAGTTTGGGTTTCCCAGTCTGTAATATTCTCTTCCATTGAGAATTTGAAGTGAGAGATTGTTTTTAACTGTCTTAATCGTGGTTTTACTTGATGCTACTGGTACATTGTTCTTCCTTATATAGTTATGTTCTTGAATTATGTCATTGCTTGCCTTTCTTTAAATCTCCTTTGAGATCACCAGCCTCAGCAGTTTTATTATCTGAACTCCAAGCAATCCTTCTGCTGAAAGTTTGGCAATATGGAACATGATGTGAACTGAATCATCATTGGTAGTAAAAAGATTACTGTCTTTTAGTGTATTTGTCTGGGAAAATCTTACATGAAAAGGTAAAATTGCTTTGCCGGTTTTTTTTTTTATGCATCTTTTCTGAAAACCAGCACGTAGTATTCAGGAGACGTTTATGGACAACAAAATATGTCGTTTCATAGTGCACCCATTTTAAGCTGATTGTTTTTGCTTGTGTATCATGTTGGTTATATGGTCAAATTACAAAAACGTACTATTATATAAAAATATAACTACTTTTAGATATCCAAAGGCATATTGAATTTGTTCTACTGTTATTCCAAATACCCATTTTAGTTTGCTATTTTTTTCTTCCATCAGAAAAAATAAAAGCTTCTCTGAAGTTGCCTTGTACTCAACATCAACATTCTCATGAATCATCTTCAAATGGATGGTCACCTACAAATATCTCCTTTCTTCTTTTCTCCAATTGCCAACTTAGCCCTCTTCTCCAACTTAGGACTCCCTAAGAGGAATACATTCTTATTTTGAATCCATTGTATTGGCAGGCCTAGCTGCAAACGCTCAAACCACCACCAATTGCCTCATGCTCCTCTCTTTGAACTGCCAAATGATGTCATTTTCCCATGTTTTTCTCCTCCTTTCTCTTTAGCTTCTTCTTGGTTGATTCATGAAGCCTATAGTATTTGTTCTTTCTCCTGAAGAGCACATAGAGAGGCACACACCTTTTGCATGTGCCTAGACATATGCGTGCACAAAGAGAGATGTAGAAAGTGAAGGAGAAAGGGTTTTATAAGAGAGATGTAGGTGGTGGAAGAAGGGTTTTATAAGAGAAGAAAGTGAATGTGTTAAATGTATATGATTTTGTTTCTTCAAAAATAATATTGAATAAGACTATAGGAAGTATTAAATTATGTAAGAAAGTGTAATTAGTAGTAAAACCCATGGAGAGTTACAAAAATCTGATGTTTCTATTATTGACTTATTATAATATAAAAAAGTTGTTCCAATTTTTAAAATGAACAAAAAGACATAAGGCAACTTAAGAGGAAGTTGATTGAGTTTATCAAATTTTATGATTTCTCTGGCTAAAATGGTTATAAATGCAACTTGCTAGTGTTTGAAGTATAAACAAAGACATAAGCTTTAAATGTTAAAAAAAAAAAGGTAAAGTGAAAAGAATACAAATGTTATTTATAGAGATTTAATTATTATATTTTTTGCCTACGTTCTCTCCTTAAGTCATTTAGTTGAGAGTTTTATTATACTTCAAAAATCTTCTCAACATTGCTAATTTAAAGAACTTTTCTTAATTTAAAAGATACTTTCAACAGAAATAGAGTTCTACTTAGAGAATTTTCTTATCATCTTTTGTATTACCTAAATAAATGAAAGATGATATATCAAGTGCTTCTCTTTCAAAAAGTAAGTTCACAAAATGAAACACAAAGAGATTCAAATATTAGGGCTACAAAAAAAAATAGATTATTTTTTAAATTCAAGTTTTTCATCCTGTTAAGATTTAATATATATGAGAAAATAAAATTATTTATACACTTTTTTGAAAAAAATTGTAAATATGTGTCTGATATAATAAAAATAATTACATTCAAAATCACATGTTTCATGACACTGATATAAAAAATATATGTTGAATTATATTTTTAATGTAATAATATATACGTTCAATTTTATCATACAATATCTTTTAAACTCATCTTAGTGTGATGATGTAGGTGATGAATTTTGTCTCATACTTAATGCTAGAAGTTTTGAGTCAATACTAATTTAACCCATATTTTTCTACTAATATTATTTGTATTTAAAAAGATATTTTTATATAAAAAACTCGTATTAAAAATCATAAAAATCTAGGAATATCTTTTGAAAAGATTAGTTTCCCTTGAGCCTTAATTTTCGAATGAACTCATTAAATAAAATTTCTTCATGCATGGTTCTTTTTTATTTCTTCTTTTTTTGCATACTTCTTACTTGAAGCTCTCCATTTCTTTTTCGTTCTTAATTGATCTTGCCCATACTTCAAATTTTAAGACGTTCATGCAAACAAATATTAGTAAAATTAAGGCTTGTTATACATTAAAATCAATTTTATATTTCTAAATATAAACTATTGCACACTTTTTTCCCTAGCGGCTAAATTAAATAAAAAGATTGTCTTTCTATTTTAAATTCAAAAAATATTTTTTTGTACGTAAAAATTTATATATTTAATTAATCAAGTGACATTTGTACATGCATGATAAAATAATATTTTAACAAGCATACATGTAATAATCGTATAGCAAAGATGCATGAGATACACACTCAATTATTCGATCATGTAATTAAGAAAGCGTAGAAATATCTATTATGTAACAACCCCGGTAATTCATAATGGAATGTATATATAAAAAAAAATATCAAATGCGGAAGCGAAGTCAAAATTTGAATAACATCCCTTACACTAAAACCAAAAACGTGCTCACAAAATATAAAAGATCAAACTACCTAAAGGAGAAATTTGAAAGTAAAAGCTACGAATGTGACTATGGAGTCTTTAGGCATCCCCTTCGTCGTCCTCCTGCGGAACCGGCTCGGGAACGATGTCCTCTTGATCTGAAATGATTAAATAAGGAATGAGCTACACTAGCCCAGTAAAGACATCACGATATCTCACCGTCACAGAGGTAAAGG